GTGGAATACTGCACACGTGCTTCTGAGTTCCGATCGGATTTGATCCCACCAGTAGTTACGTTATTATTATTTAAGATAATACATTAAAATGGCTTTAAGAATTAGCGGAAGTACGGTGACAAGTGATGTTTTTGACTTTCTCGAATCCCTGGAGGAATCAACCAAGAATATTGACACTTTAGTGACTCTAATAATAGTGACAGTCAAAGTGAACACTCGGATCACGACACAGATTCAGAAATTGACGTAAGTGACTTATCAAGCCACGAATGTGAAACAGCATCTAATAATGAAACAAATTTTTATTATGGACGGGACAGATATAAGTTTGTTAAAAATGCTCCGGCACCATCAAAAACTTACGTACATTATTACACATCTTCCTGGTCTTCGTGGATCTGCCTCAGAAACAAAACCGTTCAGTTCACTTAAATGCTAGTCACTTCTTGTAACTTCTGACATGTTGACCTCTATTCTAGAGTACACAAATGAAAAAATTACCGAGCTCAGTGTGAATTATGGGGAAACCTGTACATTTGTCGACCATTTAAACGAAGGTGAACTTATGGCTTTTTTGGGTCTTTTATACTTTTCAGGTGTACTTAAGTCCAATCATGAGAATGTCGATTCATTTTTTTCGACAGGTGTTTTACATGTTTTTAGGTTTAGACACCAATTTTTCGTGCTACAATGTCAAAAACGCTTCTTATTTCTTCTCACAGCCATAAGATTTGACAATCATAAAATAAGTGAAAAGTCAAAAGAATGTCCAATTTATTTAACTATTTCCTATGTACCTACCAGTATAGCAAACTACACCTATTCCGAATATGTTACAGTGGACGAGATGCTGGTTGGGTTAAGAGGTATGGTATCATAGATGGTATATATTATAGAGGTATTATAGGTGCCCTTTCAGCCAAACTAGTCAAGTACGGCATTAAGATCATGTGTTTATGTGACAAAAAACACATTATTTGGTAAATGCTTCTGTGTATACAGTTAAAACAAATGAACCTAATCCCCAAAGGCTATCCATACCTACAAGATTAAAACTTACTTTAGTGAAACCAATTATCAATAGTAATCGAAATGTCACTGATGATAATTGGTTCACCTCAATAGAGCTAGTTGATGAACTAAAAAAATTTGGACTCACCTACGTAGGCACAATTCGTAAAAATAAGAGAGAAATTCCTCCACAGTTTCAACCAAATAAAAATTACGAAGTCGATAAGGGTTTATTTGGTTTTACACGAGACAATACAATCGTATCATATGTCCCTAAAAAATATAAAAGTGTAATTATGTTGTCGTCCGTGCATTACGACAAATCTGTTGACCAGGAAAGTAAAAAACCTGATATAATAAAAATGTGCGCTTTATCGTTAAGTTCGAAGATGCCAGCGATGGTCTTTAGTAACTTGGCATTCCATAATGGATATTGATATAGTAAACAGTTACATTAATTTTCACGCAGAATATCCTGGAGTTAGAAAAAATCGATCGGATTTTATTCAACAGCTGGGAACCAGTCTTATAAATGAACACAAAAGTAAGATTTGCCAAATTTGCTAGATAATTACGCTTGATAATTTCCAAAGCATTCTTCTTCTTCTTTAAGTTCTATCTTCTATCGAAGGTTGGAAATCATCATGGCTATGCGGACTCTGTTGACTGCCGCTCTAAAAAGTTCTGCACTACTGCATTCAAACCATTCCCTTAAGTTCTTAAGCCAGGATATTCTTAGTCTTCCCACATTTCGCTTTCCTCGGATTTTGCCCTGCATAATAAGTTGTAATAATGCGTATTTTTGACCTCTCATCACATGTCCCTAGTACTCAAGTTTTCGTCTTTTAATAGTTAATATTATTTCCGCCTCATTTCCTATCCTTCTAGTTACTTCCATGTTTGACATTCTTTGAATCCATGATATTCGTAGGATTTTTCTGTAACACCAAAATTTAAAGGCGGCCAACTTATTCAGATGAACTTGTTTTAGTGCGCAAGCTTCCAAACCATTAAGAAGAGTAGAGAACACGTAACATCGAAGCATTCTCAGGCGTAGTTCTAACCTTATATCCCGACAACAAAGAAACTTTTTAAGTTTAATAAATGATGTACGTGCTATTTCAATACGTGTCTTAATTTCTTTGGTTTGGTCTACATCTGATGTTATCCATGTTCCTAAGTATTTATAGTTATTAACACTCTCATTTGCAGTATCTTCAATAGTCAATTGGATATTTGCATGTGCAGATGTAGTCATGATCATGCATTTAGTTTTCTTTAACTTTATCTTCAGTCCGTACTCATGACAGCGTTCATTAAGGCGTTGCATTACGTTCTGTAAATCATTGTTGTTATCCGTAATTATTACTGTATCGTCTGCAAAACGTAAGTTATTCAAAACTTCTCCATTGATAGATATACCTTCTGAGGTCTGAGAGCGCTTCTTGAAATACCGCTTCACTGTAGACATTGAAAAGTAGTGGGGACAGCACGCAACCCTGGCGGACTCCTCTCTGTATTTTGATATTTTCGGTGTACTGTCTGTCAACTCTTACCTTGGCAGTTTAATTCCAATATAAATTAGATATAATTTTCAGATCACGACTGTCAATATTTTTTCTTTTTAATATATCTACAAGCTTTTTATGTTGAACTTTATCAAATGCCTTTTCAAAGTCTACAAAACATAAGTACATATCCTGATTCATGTCCATGCATCTCTGAGCCAGCACATTCAAGCCAAACAAAGCATCTCGTGTACTCATACTATTTCTAAAGCCAAATTGTGTGTCACTAATCTCATATTCAAGAGTTTTAACAATTCTGCTGTGAATTATTTTCAAAAATGTTTTAAGTGTGTGACTCATTAAAGCTATTGTTCTTTGGTCTGAGCAAGTTGTTGAACTTGGTTTTTTGGGAATTGCTACAAAGGTTGATTGCAGCCATTGTCTGGGGATTGTGGCAGTCTGATATATTAGATTAAAGAGTTCAACCATTACATCAATAACATATTCATCGATGAGTTTTAATAATTCGATGGGCACCTCATCTGGTCCAGTAGCTTTACCCTCTTTTGTGTTTTTGATGGCATAGATGACTTCTTCTCTTAATATTGGTGGTCCAGTATCCTCGGTGATTTCTAATGACAGTTCTTCTCTTTCATCATTAAATAGATGTTGAATGTAATTGGTCCAGTGACATAATCTCTCCTTCATATCAGTAATAATATCCCCTTTATCATTTTTAAGGATATTCGTTTTTGTACGCTTTCTAGAACCTGTCATTTCTTTGATTTTTTTGTGTAAATTAAAGCTATCGTACTTTTTATCCAGATCTTCTATTTCCTTGCATCTGTCGGAGAGCCACCTCTCTTTTGCCTCTCGAATTTTCTTTCTGATGTTTCTCTGAATTTCTTTATATTTATTCAGGTCTTTTGCTTTAAGTTTTCTTCGTTCTTCCATGAGTTCAAGAATTTCTACTGTCATCCAAGGTTTTGTTTTTTCTTTAAGTGGTTTGAGGGTTTGTTTTCCAACTGACACAAGGGCATGTTGAATTTTTCCCCATTTTTGGTCAATAGTTAGAGTTTCTGCATTATCTTCTTTGACTTTCCTTAAGCTCTCGTTTATTTTAAATTTGGTTTCTACATATGTGTTGTCTTGTTTGAGACGTCTTGTATCTATGATTTTCTTGGTGCTAGGGTTGTTGACCTTCTTTAGTTTCACTCTCATCGACAAAACAAGCGGGTTGTGGTCGGAGGATATGCCCGCTCCTGGATAAGTTTTAGATGATATTATAGAATTTCTATATCTTCTGTTGACGATAATATAATCTATTTGATTTCTGACTATTTTGTTGTTACTGTCAGCTGGTGAACTCTATGTATATAGTCTACGTTTAGGAAGTTTGAACAACGTATTTGTAATTATGAGTTCCTCATTGACACAGAAATCGACAAGCCTATCGCCACATTAATTCCTTTCCCCGAGTCCATATCGCCCCACGCAATTCTCCACTTCTCCTTGGCCAACTTTAGCGTTCAAATCACCTATTATAATATTTATATCTTGTCTTTTAGTTAGTCTTAAGTCATTGTCGATTTGTTCATAGAAGGCCTCTATGGTGTCTTCATCCTTGTCTGCAGTGGGTGCATATACTTGGATTATATTTATTTTACGTTTTAAATGAGAGTTTAGAGACAGAATTAATACTCAATCAGAGTAGGGAACAAAGTTACAGACAGCTTTCTGAGAATTCTTATCAACTATAATGCCAACTCCCCGTTTGTGCTTGGAATCGTTGTTTCCAGAATAATACATCGTTCCATTTCTGGTCTTACATTTTCCTGATTCAGGCCATTGTATATCGCTAAGGCCCAGTATATTAAAGCGTTAGAAAATGAAATTACTCGTCACGGTCAGACCAGAAAGTCTAGTTGTAAAACGTATATGCTACTTTTGTCCCAGAGGTAAGAATTCCATATTTTGCTCAGACTGACATATCTGTAAAACACATTCACTGCAGAGAGCTACCTGTACTATGTGCAAAGGAGAGATACAACACTTACAAGTTGTTCAAATATTTTTGTCGCAATATTCTAACATCACGGAAAATACAAGAGTTATTTTTTATATGGTTACTCTATTATGATTTTCTTAATTATTAATTAAGAAAATTAATTTCAATTTAAGATATTTTTTTGGTATAATAATGAGTTATGTTTTTGATCAATTTCTTTTAAAAGTTGTACAATTTTTATTATATCATCTTATTTTCATAAAATAAAATTTAAGTTTACAAAATCTCTTTTTTATATACACATGCATTCATCAAAAATACAAAAAAAAAGTAATAAATATATTTTTATATCTTGTTACCTTATATTATTGTTACTTTATATATTATTACTATCTTACGATAGTTAGTTCAGGATTAATAGTAAAATAGTAGGTATATTTCTTTGTATAAAAGTAAGTTTAGTGTATTTGCAGGGAAATGTTAAAATGGTGGGGACAATACGTTGAATCACAAGGCGATATGGTTTCGGCTCTAAAAATATACGCGAATGCAGGCGACATCTATTCGCAAGTGCGTGTACTATGTTTTATGGGTAAGGAAACGTTAGCTTCCGAACTAGCTCGGGGAAATATGCAAGGTAAGTAATAACAATACCGTATTTTAAAAATACTTATTTAAAATTATAATATTAAATTTAGTTAACAGTAATGATGAACAAAATATTAAAGAATAGGAGTAGCAAAAAATTAGAGTATCTTTGAAAGATTATTTGGTCAATTAAATGGTTATGTATTTACATATATTATTCAGATGATAATTTAAAACTAAAAATACGTGTTAAGTAATGTTAGAAGTATATATATATATATATATATATATATATATATATATATATATATATATATATATATATTATAGTTGTATTTAAATCCTGTGTTGCAATGTATTTATTAGTCGTACATGCACATTAAATTATATCAGGTGTGATTTTGTAGATAAGGCTGCACTTTATCATATGGCTCGATATTATGAGACCGTTGGAAACTTCGAAGAAGCTATCAATATGTTCACGAAAGCTACAGCCTATTGTAACGCTGTAAGATTGTGTAAAGAAAATAATATGATAGACGAACTGTGGAATCTAAGTATCGTAGTGTCCAATAAAGAGAAAGTTCAGATTGCTAAATACTTTGAAGAACAAGGTAAGTTGAATTACAAAATAGATGTAAAGCAAATAATATGATAGACGAACTATGGAATTTAGTTATCGTAGTGTCCAATAAAGAGTACACATATATATTTCTAAATATTTTTTCTACGACCGCTACCAAAACCTTCCATAATTTTATGTTAACAAACTTGATGTTTTCTCATAGTAATTTTGAAATATGATTAGTGTGCCGGAAAGTTGCCTCTCTGTACCAGAATGTTCTTTTTAGCACAATTACATATTCTAAACATTCTAAACAAAGTCATATATTAATGTATAAGAGATGAGTCAATAATCACAATCTTTAGTAGTTTTTTATTCTTGTTAAATTTTTTGGTTGGCGGTTTCGAAACTTACAGTGTATATCCCATAATCAGGCCACAGCACAAAAGTCTTTGTCTAACAAAAACTATAAGCTAAAAACTATAACCTTAATTAAGTAAAAGAATTGATACTATATATAATGTTAATTAAATGATGACTGTAACATTAATTAAGTGAGAGGATTGACACAATATACAATACATATATTGAGACATCAGTAGCATTAGTTATAACTAGTCTGGTGGAAACTGCACAATACTGTCAGTCATTAATTAATTAATGAATAAAGGGTATGTAAATTTAAATTTAAGATAAAAAGTTCTAAGATAAACCTATTATATGAGATAGTTACGACTTACATATCAATGGTATGTAAGTTGTAACTCTATCATATAATAGGTTAACAGTTTCTATGTGGGACAAACTGCAGGGTAAGGATAAACGAGCATGAAACATATAGATCAAAACTAGAAACTTCGACAAATCATAGATATGCAAGCATACCAGTGACAATAAACAAAGAAATGGAAATATGCATCAATAACCATAAAAAAAGACATACATACAAAAGAGACAAATCAAAGAAGCAGCTCTCATTCTATTTAATTAAATAAATTTTTAGCAAACCCATCAGGAGAATGTAGCATACTTTGGTTACCAATACTAAAGGAAGAACATTGCAACATAAAGAATTGCCGTTCTGATGAGGCCTATTAGGCCCAAATACGTATAAGCGGATACATAGACGCACTATACGTGAAATCAAATCTTAACTGTCTGTTCCTTTTTATTCGATTTCTCCTTCGATTTTACACTTCATAATCAGCTACAACAACTCGTACTTATCATTTCTAAGTATGTACCCCAAACTTAGACCATAAAAACTGATAGACACGCCTTGTACCGAACCGTTGAAGCAAAGACCTTCCGCGAAATTGACGTCACAATGCGGCAAGAGCCCGCTTGGATTCTTAGCAAAGCACTAGTATAATTGCCCAATTTTAGATTAATTTTAATATAACTTCAATATTTTGTAAAAAAATATGGAAGATAAATTATTTAGCAAAGTAATTAATAAATATTTTTGCCTTAAATTGTAAAAATAAATGTTTTATTTGAAAGTACATACCTACATATATTAGTATATATATATCGTTGGTATATTTCTTCTTGTTTGATATTCAAAAATAAATTTAAAGGAGAGTAATTTTCTTTTGGGTGGAAGTTTCAGGTTAGGTTAAAAAATATGTAAGGAATCTATTAATTTATTGACCATAAAACAAAATAGCTTTTGTTAACTTACTTCTAACTCTTATTACATTATTTAGTTTTTCACCTTCGTGGTACAATCTAATGTTGCAATAATGGAAACAAATTATCTTTATTAGATTAAACAAATGGTTTGTTTCAAAATCATGATCAAACATATGTTCTTTGAATGCGTTAAACACAGAACCATGCACATTACTCATGACATTTAAGATCAATTGATATGTTCAATGAAATTTTGAGTAGCTTCGCTATGTACAAATTCGTTTGAGCTTTTATTTCTTTGCATATTGTATTGCCTTAGCAACTTTTTAGCTGAACGTTTGGACAGCTAATTTTACTTTCATTTTTTTCTTATACCAATTGAAATACCTTCGCGTTATCCTAGTTGCAAGATAAATGCAACAAGACAAAAATCCTTCCTTTTCTTGAATGTCTACTACTTTTTGCAAATATTCCCATTTAATCGCTTTATTATTCCCGTCAAAAAAATTTTGTAATAACCTAAAGTATTGCAAATAAGTTTCAACATATGTGAAGGGTCAAATATTACATATATTGGTTTATTTATTGCTGGATGTAGAAAATATACTTTAATGGAATTATTCGATAAATCAACTCCAAGTTGTTTAACCATGCTAATATTTGATGCTGCATCATCAAACGTTAAACTGTTAATTGTGACATAAGCTCCGTGCATTATTTTTAAGCACATTTTTATTAGATTACTTTTTTGAACACCTGATAACCCAGCGATTAAAAAGTAGCCTATCGGCAGCTTCCATAAATCATTTAAACTATTAATTAAGAATACAATTGCTTCTTTTACTTTAATTTCAAAAGAGTCGCTTTGAGGTTTACTTCCTATGTCAACATACCTAAAATTAAAGATTTCACCATCCCATTCTATTTTCTGGTGTATAGACATTTCATCGATCATCAAAGCACAGATACATGATTTTCCTTTATTTCTAAGTTCAACTACTTTTTGTTTTAATACATTCACTGCTTCTTTTTGAAATCCAGGCTCACAAGCTACTACTTGATACTACTTTGAAGAGTTCGTGGATGAGGCAACATGTTAGGAAAAGTTTTTCTGACATACTACAAGTATGCTTTTGGTAAATAGAAATTAAGAGTGAGAGCAAAGCTTTTTAACTCCGGTGGATATGTTTTAATGCTTTTAGATTTAAGTAGCTGCTTAAAGATAATTTTTGCAGAAGAATGGTCGTATCCTAATAAAATAAAAAGCAATAATCAAAACTTGATCGACTAACTACAAACAATATAAAATAATAAACTGTTATACATGTCAAAGCTAAATAGATTACTAATAAGAAGTATTATTAATTTTTCTTACTGAAAGAAAGAGAGGAATCTTCGTTAATCATTTGTGTTTCTTTAAGATGTTCTAATAATGATTTTAAGGTATTTACTTTTTTAATAAGCTTTCTATTTCGTTGTTGCAACATTTTGATTTGCTTGATTTTCTTTTGAATTAATTTGTTTACTACTACTTTATATCCTTGGTCTCTGTTAGATGATCCTTGTACAAAGTCACCAAGATAATGTCTTCGCTTTTTCAAGGCAGGTTGTAAGGTAGTTTCGTCTGAAATTTCTACTGGAGTCTTTATGGTGGTAAATTCACTCGTTATATTTATATTTTCGCTATATATCCGCTGTGAAATGTTTGGAGCAAATTTTAGAACTCTTTGTTGGTTTAAACTTTTCACGGCGCATCGCTATAATCCATTTTTTTTGCAATGATGAATCTTTAGGAAATCTAAAACAATTTATTTACTTAATCCTTCAGTTTTGAATCTAATTATAAAATAAAAATTATATATAAGACTTTCTCTCTCTCATATGTTTCTATTTCAAACACTTTGGGAGAAAAAAGTAAAATAATAGGTGCTACATTTCTGGTATGTTTTTCAAGTTTAATTTGTGAATTTACTTACCCATGAAATGATATATCTGTCCCTTTTTTGTCGTTGTGTACAATTAAATGCACTGCAAGATGCCACCATAACTAAAATATTATTGTATTGGAAACATAATCTCTACCGTTTCTGCCGCAAACTGACGTCACCCACAGCTGTGTGAATCGTTTTATGTTGGCTTCACTCTTCGAGACGAGAGAATAGCATTACGGCGCGTCTATCAGTTTTTATGGTCTAAGGCCCCAAATATACTGTATTTCGCCTTTTAATGGTGGTCAAAAGTTCTCTGTCTCTTCCCATTCTGTGCAACACCATGTCGTTCGTAATATAATCGGTCCATGGTATCTTCAAAATTCTCCTAAAAAAGCCACATCAGCTCCAAGTTTTCTCATTAAGTCAACATTAACAGTCTAGGCTTCGACATCATAAAGAAGCATAGAGTGGATATAATATTTTACCATCCGATATCGGATTTGCAGAATGAGTCTTTGGTTACTCAGAAATTTCCTCATATTCAAAAATACTGCTCTTGATTGCTCTATTCTTGAGCGAATTTCTGATTTCGGATTGAGATCTTTCGTAATCCCGACTCCTAAGTATTTTATTTTGTCAACTTGCTCAATATCTTCATTTTTTATCTGGATCCTTGTAACGACTCTTATTGATAACCATGGTTTTTATTTTCTTTATGTTTATTGTAAAGTATCGCTAAAGAATGTTAAAACGAGATCTGTAAATTTATTGAAACGTTTGCCTGTTCCGAAAAATTAAAAGATCCACTTGAAATCTGGAAAGACTTTTTTGATACAGGTTAGAAAATATTGTCTAATGTACAAATCAGCATATTGCTTCAACTGCAGCCAATTATTCTAGTAAGAGAGATACATCACTACGCACGTGTGCGAGCTTCAAGCACCATTTGGATTTTTGTGCTTAGCCAGCGTCATATAATATATGGCCCCTAAATTTACGAGACTTAAACAATACTCAAGGAAGAGGGTTTAGTTATTTCGACTTGTGATATCTCTAAATAGGTTTTAATTTCTTTTACGGCACTTTAGATTCGACAATTCTAAAACTGGCGAAGAACGCAAGAAGCAGTACAAGCTAGCACCCATACGGACAATATTTGATGCCTTAGCTACCAACTGCAAAACTGCTTACAGTCCTTTTAATTTGGTAACAGTGGATGAGAAACTGGAAACGTTTCAATAACGCTTTCAGTTTAACATCAAATAAACCCAATAAATATGGGATTAAAATTTTCGCCTTAGTTAATGCAAGTGTTTTTTTAAGCCCTTCTCTCAATGCGAATTGCCGAATATAGGCCTCTCCTAAGTATCGCCATTCATCTCTGTTGTTTGTGAGACGTTTCCACATTGGTCCTGTAGTTCTATTAATATCGTCGCTCCAGCGCTTTTGTGGTCTTCCTCGTGGTCTTTTGGCTTCATATGGCCTCCAGTTCCCGATTTCTTTATTCCATCGGCAATCCTTAAGACGTTTGTTATGTCCAGCCCATTTTCATTTTAGATTAGCTGCCTGTTTGACAGCATCTTTTACTTTTGTTTTATTACGAATGTCTTCATTGGTTTTATGGTCTTTGAGTGAGATACCCAGCATCTGTCGTTCCATAGCTCTTTGAGTTTTTCTGATCTTCTTTATGTTAATTTTAGTGAATGTCCAGGTTTCAGCTCCTTATGTAAGTACAGGTAGGATACAGGAATTAAACAAATTGGTTCGCAGTCTATGAGGTATGTTTTTATTTTTAAGTACATATGAGAGTCTTCCGAATGCTGCCCATCACATTTTTACACGTCTGATTATTTCGGTAGTCTGATTTTCTTTGCTTACTCTGACATTTTGACCCAGATATGTATTTTCATCTACGTGTTCTATCTCCGTTCTTTGGATGTTTATCATAGGTTTGTCATCTTTGTTTGATATTAGTTTAGTTTTGTTGAAATTAATTTTCAGTCCTTTTTTTAGTGATTCTTTGTGTAGCTCTTCAATCATCGTATTCAGTGCATTTCACGTGTCGGCTATTAGTACTACATTATCTGCGTATCTAAGATGGTTCAAATATCTTCCGTTAATAGGGATTCCCTTATTTTCCCAGTCTATTGACTTAACGATATCTTCTAGGGCAGCTGTAAATAATTTTGGAGATATTATTTCTCCTTGTCTTACGCCTCGGTTATTTTCTAGCTTGTTCGTAAATATTATGTATTAATATTCTGTACCTGGAGTCGATCCGGTTGTTGACTAATGCTTCTTCTATTACCCACAGTCCTACACTATCAAAAGCTTTTTCATAATCTATTAATGCCAGACATAATGGTAGATTGTATTCGTTAATCTTGTTGTTAGTAGCCAAGTGTTACTTTACTTCAAATCTTAAAATCTATATAGGGCAGCAACCGGATGATCATTATGCTGTGAGCAACTCTTCCAATGCGGTAGTCTTGAGATTATGTAATCCCATAAACAGATCAGGAAGAACCCATAACTGGTTCACATATATGGATATGTTAGAGCCATTGTATGCGAAAAAGCTGACGTTATTTGTTACAATTCGTAAAAACAAAATATAATTACCACCTGAGTTTGTCAACCCCCCAAAGTCACGGTTAGTCAACAGTAGTTTATTTGGTGTACGGCAAAATGTCACCCTTGCGTCCTACAAACCCAAGCAAAATAAAAACGTGTTAGTGCTATCCAGTTTTCATTACGATAATAAAATAGATGAAATAACGAGTAAATCGGAAATTATAATGGATTATAACAATACTGAAGGGGATGATAAGATCACGTTGACAAGCTGTGTGCTGCCTATAACATAGCATTGTTTGCCATCGTCAATAAAATGAAGAATTACTGAACTGGTTGAATCTAAAGATTCATCACCGCCCCCAGCTGGGAATATTGGCCAACAAAGGAGACGCTGCAGTTGCTGCGACAGAAAAAGAACCATCCTTCCGACAAGTATTCATGTGTTAAATGTGGAAAATTTATGTGTTTACAACATTGCACAAATATATGTAATGATTTTTTCAATAATTAGTAATAATAGTTTATTTAATTTTATCAGAAATTTTTTTAATCCCTTTCATACTTGCTATTTCAATATGCGGACTTACAGTCCGCCGCGCGTGTATAAATACTGAAAGGTTAAACATGGCACAAGAAAACAGTTTCAGAAAATCTTTAAACAATTATTTAGTCGTGAAGGTAAGTTTTATAATTCTAATAGAAATTTGGCGGAAAATGGACTTCTAAATTATAAATATAAACTACGAAGCAGTAATTAATATTCCATACACAAAATCAAAGAAATTTGGGCACTAAGTAGTGTTAAAATAGCCCATTTTTGGCAATCATTAATAATGTAATGATTTGAATTACAAAAAATATGTATTTCATTTCTTTAAATTGATTGGTGTATATTTATTTGTAGGTGATCTTGAAAAATCTGCAATGTTATATCACAGAGGAGGAATGTTACACAAAGCTATTGATTTAGCATTCAGAACTAAGCAATATGATATCCTTCAAGAAATTGCTTCTGAACTAAATGCTGATTCGGATCCTTCACTGGTTCAAAAATGCGCTGAATATTTCATCGATAATGAACAATTTGACAGAGCTGTCGATCTTCTAGCCATAGTTAAAAAGGTACAATATAAATAAATTTACTCTGTATTATTTAAATTAAATTAATCTGCTCTGCTCTGCTCAATTAAAATTTGCAATGAAACTACTCTAAAAGCAATGAAATATGGCATGCCGTAGGCGTGCCATATTTCATTGCTTCTATTTAACTTCCTGCCTTACATTGTTTATACTTGTCATAAATAAATTAAAATCAACTAAGTACTCAGGGAGCATGTTCTGCGTTAAAAGAAAGGGGAGGAAATACTAATTATATTATCGATAAAAAAAACGAACAAGGCATCTACCAAAGGCACGTATATCTTATCTTCGTTATTACTGTTACTTCCATACGTTACGTATCTTACTTCGTTATTACTATTAATATTCATTAGTACAAGTACAAAGTAAAAGTCGAAAAACATTTGCGTCTCACATTAAACATTAATTGAATTGAGTTATACAAGTCAGTTTTTAGTGAAATTTTCACAAAGTGTTTATTATCACAAGATCCACAACCGTGAGTACCTATTTTTATTGGTCATCTTTTGTGAATCCTGATATATGCAATAATTGATTATATTGCCGTTCATATCAGCACACAGGCAAAAAAACTGGTTTAATTTATCATTTGTCGAATATCGATTATCTACCTACAAAGTATAATTGATATTTAATTGATTTGGTTTAAATCGTTAATTGGACGAAAATAATTAATTATGCCTGTGTGTATAAACTGTAAGCAATCTACCATAAACACTCAAATTATAAAATGTTCGGGATGTATGAATTCTTTGCATACTTCATGCATTGGCTTACATGGCGATGATGTCAGTCGGATTACACGAATGCGTAGTAAAAATATCAAAGTACTATGTAATACTTGTAGCAACGGAGAGGACAAGTTTGTTCAATTAAAGCAATTTTTAACGAATCTTGTGGAAACTAAAATGCAGGATCTAGAAAGGAAAATAGCTAATATTAATCCTAGAATACAATCCGAACATCAGGAAGAGATAATTGAAGAAGCCATGGACCGTATTAATCGATCGCACAATATCATTTTGTATAACGTACCAGAAACTAATTCTGCTATGGAAGATAATAATAAAGTAAATGATATTCTAAATACGATACAAAGTGGTAATTCAAATCCGATTTCTGCAAGACATGTACACAGAATTGGTAAACGATCAAATAAGGCCCGTCTAATGAAAGTGACCTTTTCAACACCCGCGCAGGCTAAGTCTATTTTGCGTATTAAGAATAAATTAGCCACATCTACTTTCTCTGCTATTTCAATTTCTGATGATAAAACACCTCGACAGAGACAATACTTAAATGACCTCCGGACCGAACTGAAACGTCGAACAGACAATGGAGAACAAAATCTGATCATTAAGTACGTAAAGGGTAGACCTACCATAGTCAGTAAAACTGAGAGCTCTTTAAACTAAATGTGTCCAGCAGTTCCAGATCAAGTAAATCACAATACGTTGAAATTACATGTTATTACCAAAATGTACGCGGCCTTAATAGCAAAATTTCATTATTTAATGTAAACGTTAGTGATTGTGAATTCGACATCATAGCATTAAGTGAAACGTGGTTACGCAGTGATGTTTCGAGTATGGAACTCTTTCCGAATAATTATGTCGTATACAGAAAAGACCGAAAATTCCATGAGGTGGATAAAGTGAAGGGTGGTGGTGTAGTGCTCGCGTTAAAAGATTTCATAACATCTGAAATATTGGACATCACGGCTCTCGACGCACAATTTCCACTAATTGATCTTATTATTGTCAAGTGCCGGATTGGCTACAAATATTTTTATATAGTTGTTGTTTATTTACCTGATAGATTAAGTTTGGTAGACTTTGAATATTTTTTTGATTGCTTAGCACAATTTGATTACTTAAATAATGACTGTATAGTACTAGGCGATTTTAATGTTTCAAGGTTTATAGATAATGATATGTCTGATTTCAAAACTTCTGTAGTTTTAAGTTTTGCGGGCTCTACTGGCCTTAGACAATTTAACAATGTTGTTAATCATTTGGGTAGACTGCTAGATTTGGTCTTATCGCATTTCAGTTGTGATGTGAAGCATGATGACTCACCTTTGGTCTATGAAGACTCTCATCATCCTGCTCTTCTAATAACATTTACGGATATATTTGTAAAAGAGCCTAAATTTAAGTGTGGTTTGAAGCAATTAACTTACAACTTTAAAAAAGCAAATTTTCCTGCTTTATATCGAGAACTGTATGAAACGGATTGGAATTCTCTGGATACTTCTAATGACGTTAATGAGATTTTAAATAACTTTTATGATACGATTTTTTCTGTGTTTAATAAGTATATTCCAGTTTATAAAAACTTTAGCCATAAATACCCCCCTTGGTTCGATGCTGATATCATTCACAACATCAAATTAAAAGCAAAGTTTAGAAAAAAGTTTAAACGATTCAAAAACCATTGTGATTTGCTTGAGTTTCAACGGTTAAGACACCTTGTCAAATCAAAAATCAGTTTGGCATACAATGTATATGTCGAGAATATCCAAATTGCTTTATCCTTCAACCCCAAGAAATTTTGGTCTTATGTAAATTCAAAAAATAATAGTTCAAGAATTCCTGGTGTGATGAAATATAATGACATTAGTACCTCCGACCCACAAAATATTGTGAATGTGTTTGCAGAATTTTTCAAGAGTGTTTTTCTGTCATCAGATATTAATTTCAAGGCTAACTCTTCCTCAGTTAACGCAGATTACTTAAATTTTTATCCTATTTTAGAGTCTGAGATAATTTTTGCGAGTAAGAAATTGAAAGACAAAATGACGTGTGGACCTGATAATATTCCATCCTTTTTGGTTAAGGATTGTATAGGTGCCTTAACTGTGCCACTTTTAAAAATTTTTAATTTATGTCTTCTTAACAAGGAATATCCGAGTCTCTGGAAGGAGTCAAAAGTGTGCCCAATATTCAAAACTGGTGAAAAGGGTCAGGTAGAAAACTACAGACCAATTTCCATTATTTGTAATCTATCGAAAGTCTTTGAAATAGTTTTGTATAATCGTATTTATTCACACACTCATAATCAGCTATCTCAATATCAACATGGTTTTGTCTCCAATCGGTCCACTGTGACAAACTTAATAATGGTCACACAATATATCTCAGCAGCCCTAGATAATAGAAGTCAAGTTGACGTCATATATACTGACTTTACGAAGGCATTCGACAGAATTCACCACGGCGTATTACTTTCTAAATTGTGTCTCTTTGGTCTTTCTGAGGATGCCTTGACTTTTATGAGGTCCTACTTGTCAAATAGAACGCAGTTTGTTGCTTATAATGGTTACAAATCGGAAAAGTACCTAGCTTCTTCAGGGGTTCCACAAGGTTCTAATCTAGGTCCATTATTGTTCTTGTTATTTATTAATGATCTGTGTGAATCAATTTCTGCACCATGTTTATGTTATGCCGATGATTTAAAGATTTATTCATTGATAAGCGACCTTAATGATTGTCATTTTCTACAGAGTGAACTGAATCGTGTACATGAATGGTGTAATGCAAATCATTTGAATCTTAATGCCAATAAGTGCAAAGTAGTTAGTTATTCTAGGAAACAGTCTAATATATACCATCCTTATATTATCGATGGCAATGAACTTGAACGATTGAATAAAATTAAAGACCTTGGAGTTACATTTGATTATAAACTCACCTTTGTTGAACATGTTAATTTAAAGGTTAAAGAAGCACTTAAATCTTATGGATTCATAATTAGAAATAGTCGAAATCTCACTAATACTAAGGCAATTAAATTACTTTATTACACTTTTGTACGCTGTAAACTGGAATATGCTTCTGTCATTTGGTCACCTTTTTATGATGTACACATCCAAATTATAGAGCATGTGCAGCGTAAATTTTTAAAATTTTTGTCTTTCAAAATTAACGGCATATATCCCAGGAGGGGCATCAGCAATAGCGAGTTGTGTAGCGGTTTGGACGTAGTATCATTAGAATCTAGACGAATTAATGCCTCCCTAATATTCCTGTACAAGCTACTACATAATCTCATTGACTGCCCTGATATTCTTCGACAAATAAATTTTAACGTTCCATCTTATCCAGTGAGAAATTCGATTACGTTCAGAAATACACAAGCTAGAACTAATCTTATGTTAAATTCTCCTCTATTTCTCATGTGCAACTATTATAACTCCTTAAGTGCTTACTGCGATATATTTCACTGCAGTTTAAAGCAGCTTACTAGGATGGCTGAGATCTACCTAGGTGATTAAGTAGTTTCTTTATGTTAAATACTCGAAAAATGTGTTATTTAGTTAGTACCTATGAATTATTAATATTTCATTTAACTTTAGTATTGTATTTTGTCCTATAAATGGATTCTGTTGGACAATAAACGCTATTATTATTATCCAGATTTAGCCATACGGCTCACACTCCCTCTAAGGGGAAAATTCACTCATCCCAGATACCTACGGTATCAAAAGGATTGAGCTCTGGTGGGACTCTTTCCATGTTATCGAGTCCTAGGTGACTTGGTATGTTGGAGTATCTCCCAAAAATTTTCGTACACATCTGGACGTCGCGAGGAGTACAGCTTTCTGCATGGCCTTATAAAGATGTTCATTTAGACCTAGTTGTTTTATGTTCGCTAGGAGGTTTTTGGGAATAACACCAGTAGTAGATAGAACAATAGGTAGTGTCTGGGTACTTTCCATTCTCCATTGTCTCCTGATTTGTATTTCTAGATCTCTGTACTTGGCGATCTTTTCGTTGTATTTAACAACTAAATTATTGGTGTTGGGTATCGCCACATCAATAAGTGTTGTTTGTCTAGTAAGTTTATTAACTAGTATGAGATCCGGTCTATTATGGGCCACTGGTTGGTCTGTAAGCACAGTGCGGTCCCAGTATAGCTTGTAGTTGTCATTTTCAAGCATTCTATCAGGAGCGTATTGATAATAAGGAAGATGGTCGGTA